TTCCATATACACGGTTTTCTACATTCCTCTTCACAAATTAAAGCAGATGAACATTCTTGTCTGAGGAAGGATGCTCATGATCTGATAAAATGTGTGTTTCTTAACAATACCTGTCCATTATATTTTAGAATAATTTGATCTAAGTGAAGCTGTTCTTGGCTTGTGCTTTTTTCTTTCTTTTAATTATTAGAAATTAACAGGCTCTGGGACTGTGTCCTTTTGGGCTTTTAATAAATCAAACTTACAGCTGATTGCTGCTTACTATACGAGTCATCTTTGCCTTGGTACCCAATGTGAGTGGAGAGAAGATAAGCTCTTCAGATTTGCATCAGAGATGTGACAGTATAGAAGTTTGCAGCCTCTTGATGCCATACCATTAGTGTGATTTTTGCATGCTTGCTCAATGAACTAATTTTGATAATAACAACTGCTTAGCAATGGTCTAAATTCCAAGTTTGGCATCACTACCCCACAAGGTTATTACTTATTATTATGGCAAGTGTGGGGGCAACCCTTCTTTACATACAAGGCCAGTGGTTAGATCTATTGTTGTCTTCCTCGCTTTGCATACAATATCAATGGTAAAAACACAATGAATGTGGAATTTTCATTGTTCTTAATTAGAAGGGAGGAGTCAATTATGTGCTCTGCACTCTAGTAGGATTCCTGGTATTGGATATGTGATTAGCTTGGTCTTCACATGCAAAAAGCAATTGTATTAATAAACCAGTGAATAGCAGATTAAGAGCTTTGAAGCAGATGATAAAAATTAATGTTCACTTTTTTTACAGGACTGGATCTGGAAATTATTTACCACTCAAGAAAGAGTTGGATTCATTTGATAAGGTATATGCGTCTGCAGTAAATGAATTCTCTCTAGAATGATCTATACCTTTTTTATACAAGAAATTAGGAATAGACTTTCTTTTAGGTGGAATATTAGTTTTTCAAATGAAAGTTCTGTAAGTTATAGATCATGCACCTTATGCAATTCAGCAAGGTACCTGGTTGTATTAATGAAAAAGTATTTCTGCTACCTGTTTCCTTTTGTATGCTTGACTGCATACTCTCTTACTATATGTGAAGATCCAGAGATTGAACACAATGTTAGTCTTTTTTTTAACTGTAAACTTGAATAGGAAATTTGAGTTCTCTCAAACAAGTTTCATATGTTATAAGTTATTGCAAATGAGATCAGAATCGTCATTCTGTAACTTCTGGTCTGATGATTCTAGTAATATTGAATAATTTGCTTCATCAACATATTTGCTTTATGGATTCATGTAGTGGCATCAGTCCACGTGGTTACTTTCGTGGTATAACAACTGAAACAAATCTAGTTGTGCAGTAATGTTTACATTTTCTTTTAGGCATTGGAGAGTGTTGAAGAAGCTCTTTTACGGCTTGAAGACTTGCTTCAGGAGCTGCATGTGAAAAGCTCGAGTTCTGGAAAGGAGCACTTAAAAGCTGCCTGTTCAGACCTTGAAAGTATACGAAGACTTAAGAAAGAAGCTGAATTTCTTGAGGCATCTTTCAGAGCTAAGGCAGCTTCTCTCCAGCAGGTATATATATATATATATATTTTAAATTTTATTTTATTTTTAATTTTAATTTTATTTTTATTTTTCAGTGGCGTGTGCCTCTGATACTTTTCTCTACGTTGGAGTACAAAATTATCAGTGCTAACTCTTATTTATGATTTGTACATTCTGTTTTCTTGAAGTTGCTATTTCTTGATCTATATAACATATCCAGGATTTATTTTTCCTCTTGTTTATGTCACAAAATCAAGATTTTCTCGTCTTTTCTCTTACTTGTCCTGTTCTTTTTTATGTTACTGCATGAAACAAACAAGGATAAAGAAGTGACTTGTTTCAAACTTCAAAGCACTGGAGGAATATCCATTTAGATAAATTAAGCATGTAGAGTGATAAGAACCCAACCAGAAAGAATGAGCTGCAGTGGAAGAACAGGGAAATAAGTAACTGAACTTTTTATTGAATTTAGTTAATGAAATGATTACAGATAAGAGGGCTACAAACAGGAAGTAACGATTCTCCCTACTACTCTTCTACTCTCAAATTTTACCTGCCTACCAATACGGGTTGCCTCTCTATTTATAGATCCTTCTAACTGCTTGCCCACCCCAGCCTGCCATAACAGAATTTGTTGCCGCACATTCTTCTCAATTGTTCTTGATCCTTCTAGAATAGGTATATACTTGATTGGGGGTCTATCATAGAGTGATACCTAGAGACAAACAGAAACTGGTTTATCTTTCCCTCTGCATTAGAGGATCTATCTTCATCTGCAAATATAAATCTAACTTGGAATAATTTTAAAAATAAATTCCTGGAAATTTTTATCTGTATCTGATCTTTTTAGATTTTTTATTCTTGATGTTCCCTCATTTTTTAATTAGTAATGCATTGATATTCATTTCCGATGTGCGTGTGCCAGCCTCTCAAACAATTGATTATCAAGTTAATCTGCTTTGACCGGCATCAAGGACTGATCTCCATACAAATTAGGGATATGAATTTTACTGTTTCATTTTCATTACTGATGGTTGTACTTCAAGTTAAGAAGTGCTAAAGCATAGATAATTTGTATACTAGACAGAGAGAGAAGGATGTTTGTAGGATAATGATGGAATGACAGAGTGGTCTAATGTTTCTTTCTGATGTCAATTTGATATAAATATAATTTTACATCGATTATCTAATTTATCTTTGATGTTGAGTACAAAAAAAATTCTCTGATCGACAACTAGAGCTTTTAGATGAAGTGCTTCAACACGGTATCTAAATAGGTATAGATCTTGAGTCAACCATAGCTTCTTTTTTCATGCTGGGACGAGCGAGAAAAGAAAAGGGGATTTGTTGGTGAAAAAAATGAAAATTCAGGGAGCCCCGGCTTTCTCGTCGACATGAAGAAGCATATCTATGTTGAAATTTGTCTTAGATCTTTATGTCCATTTTTATCAGTTTCGTGATTTGTGACTATATACCTAATATTTCAGCATTGTTGATAAGTAATTTGTTCACATTTAATGTCTGAAAAGCAGCTACCCGATAGAGATCAAATTTATTTAAACTCCTCCAACTATCAGCCTAACAACATTATTTAAACCTAAAAAAGTAATCAGAATGTCATTTTTCTCCAAAAATAAACATGTGTTCGATCAATGTTTTGAAACATAAGAAGAAACAATTAAACGGGAAAAACAAGAAAATGAAATCAGAATGTAAACAGACCTCTAGGTTACATAGGCGTAGCATTGCACTTTTTATCTCTCTTGAGTTAGTTGAGGCTGTCATTGATCTGCTTGTGGTTGTTTGTTGGACCACACATTTAACTCCCTCAGCAAAAGTTCTCTGTTGAGTTTAGGGGTTCTTAAGCTGCAAATTATGCATAAGCTGTAGCCTGCAGTACCAAGTATCATGTATTGCATAACAAGTGACTGGAAAGAATGAGTTTGAAGAGGACTTACTCAAGCTCAATGCACTATTACTTTATAACGACAGAGTGATATCGCAAGTTTCTCCCAAGAGGGAGCAATCAAAACATTCATGTAATTTTATGTATTCTTCAGATCCATGTATCAGTACCTTATTATGCCTCCTATGATGACTTGTGTTCTACATATGACTTTCAATATTATTTGCATCTGATTTGGCTTCTGTTTGAGCTACTAGGGAGATGATGTCACTAGTTCTACCTCTCCAGTTAGTGAGCAACGTCAATATTCTAGAGGACAAGGCAGAAAGAGTGCTAATGTGAAAATGGATAGGAGCAGCAGGTATTGAGGCTTCTCAGATGTTTTCAAGTTCTTACCTCATGATGCTCTTCTTCACTATGTTTTGTTTCATCACGTAATTTTTGTTTAATTCAATTTATTTCCTTGCTGATAAATATCTTCTTTTTTGGGTAAGCAATCCTCCTGGATTATGGAGTATCTTAGCATACCGCCCGGCAAAATCACCTGATCCTGGTCCATCAACTGCAATTGAAAATGTATGGCATTCAATCGGCTTGCATATTCATTTATTTGCCTTCTGCAACTTTTCCTCATAGAGGGCACAAGAAACGTGATATTGATGTGCTATTTAAATTTTAAATATTGTGCCCCTGTTTGGGCTCCATTAAAATGAGATTTTGGGGGAAAATGTGTTTTGAATTAATGATTTTTTGGAGAATGTGTGGCTAAAAAATAAGGAGAAATTTTGTGTTTATGTGTAACATTATTTTATGGGAGAATGTGTTGTTGAAAATGAGTTTTGGAAAAATGGAGCCCAAACTGGGGCTGTATATGGTTGCTTCCATGCTGTATGCCTCAACCTACTAGTTATGATTAGTGTCTCAGTTATTTACAGTGCAGCTTCTGGTCGTTCATTGCTTAGATGTCTATGTTCCTTGACCTTCCTCAATCTTTCCCTGAAGTTCTGAAAGCTGCTGTTCGAACTCGCCGACATCATAATATTACTCTCACTCTAAACTGACTATTTAACTAGTCCCATCATTTATTGTCTCTAAGACTAGGTTAGCCTTGGATATCAATGTGTGAAGTTGCTTTGATACTGTCTGTCGATGTATCTCATTAGTGCCCTATAGGCATTAGTTTTAATTAACATATATCTGATTGTCCGACTTTCTGTCAAATTGGGATGGCAAAATAATACTGTATCAATTTGGAAATATGGAATTTATGTTCACATTATGCAATACTGATTGTGCTAAAGGAGTGATATTCTGATGCGTCTTTCCAATGAGAATGACATTTTTCTAATTTACTGATTTTGCTTAGGAAATTCAGATTATTGTGTGAAAGATTTTCTGCCTCTGAGTTATGAGTGGTTAAAAATATTAATTCTTTCTTCTTTTTCTTTCTGGTGATCTCTATGCAGGATGGTGGATACCATGAACAGGGAGGTGTGAGCAAGGAAATTGTTGACTTGGAATCCAATGAAATTCAACGATTTGAACTCTTAAGGAGCGAACTAATAGAACTGGAGAAACGAGTTCAAAAGAGTACTGATCAGTATGAGTATGATGAGGTACATTTTGAACTTTTGTTAGGTTTACTATACGAGTTCAAAAATAACTAAATTATTATGCCTCAAATTTACTCCCCATTTCTCCTCTCTTTTGAGTTGACGTCTGGCTTCATTTTTCTTAATGAGTAAGTCTTCATCCATTTTGGTTTTACCAGCACAATCAAGAGTCAGAATTCAAATGTAAGGTTAAAAGATGGCAATGATCATTTAGGATCAGTTAAAACTGGATAGACAACAATCTTTGTCCTATTGGTCATTTATTTCAATTTCTTTTTCTGAATATGATCTATCTATGGTGAAATAAAACCATACAGTTACAACCATCTTTTGAATACAGATTTGGTGGGTTAAGAACAGTGATAAATCCAGCCTTCGATTCTATGGAGAATAGTAAAAGAGTGTCCATTCTGCTTGACGCTTCTGTCGCATTTCACTTTCTGTAGTTTCAAATTCACCGAGTCTTTTCTGTCATGAGAAGTGACATCAATAAACTTGCTAGAAAAGAAGAAAACTTTTTGGTGATATGAAAAACCTTGCATGTCTATTCACTAGGATGTAGAGCTTGACTAAATGCTTGCAAAATGGCAGAACAAACGGTAAAAGAGCTGTCATCTTTAATACCTACAAGTAATTTTGCATAAACTACGTATCCTCATTATATTGTTCAGATAAGGACTCACTTGCATTATGTGGTCTCAACTTGGATTTGTTAAATTTCTTACTTTCTGTAACCGTGTAAGATCACATAAAAGAACTCTGTATGATATTGTTGAAGACTAATGTAAATAAATAAATGCGTCCCCTCTCTAAAATCTTAAACTTTTAGGTGAGGCAGTTCAACGTGAAATTATAGGAGACAGAAGTCCTGGGTCAAGTCTCGCATCTATTCTTTATAATAATAGTTCACAGGCCAGGCATTTAATAGAAATGGAATCCGAGCATGTCGAATACTAATAATAAATGTTTCTGCTCTCTGAAAGCTTAAGCTTTTAGGTGAGGTAATTAAACAAATATTATGAACTTCGTAATTTTGTAGCCATTGTTTGACTTTGCTCAACCAAGCTCGATAGAGTTGATAGCCGTGTAATGTTATTACATTCCCCATATATAGTTGGATATTGTTATGAGAAAACTAAATCAGGCATTTGGACTGGCGAGATATTATGTGAAGATTCCATGTGGACACTTGGAGTTCTATGGACATCAGTGTCCATCTAGCCACAAAGTTAATTACCTGTACTGCAAATTGCACACCATCCTAGACTATGGCATGAAATTTTAACTCTCTGATGTACATCTAGACAATAATCACGACAATATTCTGCAACAGATATGTAATTTCTTTTAGGTTCATAAAATAAAGACCTTGAGTTTTTTTTGCCACGGAGCAGTTTATTTTCCTTTTCTTTTCCTAGTCCGATATTGAATACAATATACTCTCATATACTGGTATAAAAACCAGCATGTACCCAACTTAGAACTTGAGACCTTATTCTGAGAATCCAATTGTCTTAAATCTGTCAGTTCATTCAGGCCCATTTACTGATCAAAAGGTCAGCTTTCAAGTTTGCGAGATTGGTGGATTTGGTGTGATAAAGCTATGACCTTTTTTTCTGATAGTAGGCATTAACATCTCTGCTTCAATTTTGATTTATTTAAGAGCGAGTGTTTCTCTTTCACTGCTTGTGGCAACTGTGCTCATGATTGTGAAATTATTGTTATAATAGTTCCTCTTAAATATTTCAGTGTTCAAACTGATTTTGAAGTTTCTGAGCTCTGTTGCTTTTTTGTCAGACACAGTTGCAAGAAACTACTTCCTAAACAAGTTGTAATATTAAAGAGGTTCTGCAGAGCCCTAATATTCTGTATATTTTTTATTTCATTTCTAGAAAAGAGTGGCCTAAACAAAATTAATGGAAACGCCTTGTATTTAAACCCTCTTTGACAACCATTATTTCAAAACTCTTTAGTTCTCACTCATTTTCAACCATACATTTACATAATAAAATATTTTGTACGTAAACCCAAAATTTTCTCTACTTTTTAACCACACGTTATTCAAAAAATTATTATTCAAAACTCCATTTTCTCAAAGTAATGGCCATCAAATAGGGGCTTAATGTAGTGTCTTTGGGTTGTTTTGACTTCTGTTACAGTGTGCAAAGCGAGTTCATGTGTTCAACTTTCTGGTTGTCAAAATTTCTCTGTACTCGCATAGGTATCAATTACCTGCTTTATCTTATGAGATTGACCCCTTGCATTTCATTCAGGAAGAAATTCAGACAAGAGATGATGCTTTGAGGTACAGTAATGAAGCTAAAGGTGCTCAAATGGTGCAGATTCAGAAGAAAGGAAGTATCATTGAGAAATCATTGGATAAGCTGAAAGAAACAAGCATGGTACGAAGTTACCCCTCTTTATTGGACAAATGAAATTTGTGTGTATTATGCCAGGCCAATGAAATTATTTATAGTTTGAAATAAATAATACTTAATTATCTTTTTCAAAACTGATGCATATATTTATTTTGTTACTAATTTTATATATTTTCTTAGGATTTTTATCGTTCCTATAATTCTTAGAACTTATCAATATAAGGAAAAATACATAGAAAAAGGATATGAATCCTCCCAATAAGATCTAAAGAACTGCTTTTTAACTTTTCTGGATATCTGTATGCAATGTGTCTGTAAATACAGTAGTTGCTCACGCCCAATGGAACATATCTCTGACATTCCTATCTCTCTCACCCTCTTTGGATTCTATGGAACTCTGAGGAGGGTTTTTGATGTTGGAATTTATAGCTGCTCTTCTAGTAAATTACTTTCGAGCCAAGTTTGTACAGGAATGTGAAGCAAGTAACAAAAACATATTCGCTGCAAACTCTTAAGTATTAGTATACTTTAATGAAGCAAATCCACATCTCATACAAGATAGTGAGTAGCGAATACACATCTCATACAAGATAGCGAATTATCCTGAAGTTTCTTTGCTTGCCAAAGTAAGGGTGGTGCGGAAGGTTTTATGAATTCTTGTAATAAGAATTGTAAGTAAGAACGATATTAGAATAATCTTGCTTTATATTGAATTTGTAATTGCTGTGTTGAAAGTGTACATAGCCTCTATATTTATAGGCAAGATTATTCTCTACTTCTACTAATACTAGGAAATTGAAACTACAGTCCTAATCAAATAAAACATATTACAACTAGAAGAAAAAATAAACATAATTGAAAGATAAACACATCTAGAAAAGGTATATCACAGTCGTAGTACTACTAATTGTGATTGTGTACTACATAAAAGGGATAGTTTAATTACTCCTCCATTTGTTAACTTGCAATCTCTCAGTGAGAGTTTTGATGTTCATGAGCAGGATGTTTGGCAAGGCACTCAGCTTCTAGCCATTGACGTTGGCACTGCTATGGGACTGCTCAGGAGGGTTCTAATAGGGGATGAATTAACAGAGAAAGAGAAGCAAGCTCTCCAAAGAACGTTAACTGACTTGGCTTCAGTAGTTCCAATTGGCTTTCTCATGCTCCTTCCAGTAAGCCCTAACATTATTAGTTTGAATTGTATGTGCATCGGTGAGTCAGCTTGCCTTTAAGGGAGATTCTTGTACAATTTGAGTCGATTATATGATTATGAAATCATCATGCATCAGGGGTGCCTAGAAGAAATACTTGCTCAATCTATAGGGGAAATTCATCTACAAATAGTTACTGCAATCAAATTTACGCTTCTTGCATATTCGATCACTGCTTTCTGTGCTAAAAATATTTCACCCATTCATCTTCTTCCTTTTTCTTGTAATTATGTACTAATTGACTGCTGTGCTTTGCATACAAACATTGACACGAGATTCACTTAGTATTCTCGAGGAATGTTCCTTTTGGTTGGACAGGAAAGTAAAACGAAAGGATAAAAACATTGACAATTATATGGCCTAATGTCCCTCTGGCCTGCTATGTCAATAAAATGTTATTAGCTTAACCACAGGACCATGTCTTTACCTGGCTCCTATAAAATGCATTTGCTTTAACTTACAGTGATGCAGTACGTTAGTCCTCACCTGATTAAATTTTTATTAATATGGCTTCCTGTCATATGAGAAAAATGGTTTGCTTACACTTCAAGCAAGACGGGGATTTACATGACCATAGACGAAGCAGATCTTTCTTGATCCTAGGACTTGATGTGTGCATAAATCAACATTTCTTCGTTATATTCATCTTGCAGGTTACTGCAGTAGGGCATGCTGCTATGTTGGCTGCAATTCAACGATATGTACCATCACTGGTGTGTACGCTTTGATTCCTGAGCTAATTGTTTAATCTCTTGCATGAAGCTCAACCTGAGACCATATTTGATTTGTTCTCTGGCAGATACCTTCCACTTACGGACCCGAAAGGTTAGATCTCTTGAGGCAGCTTGAGAAAGTAAAGGAAATGGAAGACGAGGTGAATCCCAATGAAAGTCCAGAGGAATAACCCCGCATTTTCAGCTTAGTTTCGTTCTGAATCCAGTTTCACAGTTTGACTTAAAGAAGTTCATTCCGAGTGTCTTGCACTCCTGGTATGTACTCACTGCATTGCCTGGTTTACGTCATAAGTTCAGCCAATAGATATATGATGTTTGTTAAAATACATTACAAGAGCCATTAACTTAAGTGACCATTAATCATCTTTCATTGACGCGTGAAGCTTAATTCAGTTGGCACATGTGCAAGCTGATTGTATAGTTTTGGGACCACAAAGATTGTTGTAACCATATTGATCCTTCACGTGTAATTGCTATCCTTTTGCTTGCTCACTACTCCAGCACTTGTATATATTGCTGGCCTTGTAACCTTGCAAATTAATAAATTGAGTTTTCATCTTTTGCTTTATTAATTCAGCCATCAGTTAAAGCCACCTTTCTCAGAATTTTAATTTGGTATCAGAGCCATTATGGCTAACACTGGATCTGATGATAACACACAATTAGCACAGCAAACTACCAGCAATCTGATGCCTTCAATGGTGGGAGGAAATCAGATGCAAACTCTTGGAATCAGCCTAACTCAAGTTCCACCAATGAGACTTGACGGAAACAACTTTCTGTTATGGAAAAATATGGTGATGTCGATCATAAAAGAAAGTTGANCAAGTTCCACCAATGAGACTTGACACAAACAACTTTCTGTTATGGAAAAATATGGTGATGTCGATCATAAAAGGTCACAACTTGGAAGGGTTTATCACTTGAACCAGAATCTGCCCAGCTGAATTCCTAGCTATACAAGCCACGGGCTCAACTGGGATCACAGTCGAAATGGTTTCAAATTCTGAGTATGGAAAGTGGATGTCAACAGATCAACTATTGATGGGTTGGTTGTACTTCTCAATGACACCAGGAATTACAATGAGAGTCATGGGATCATCGAAGTCTTCTGAACTCTGGAATGTTGTCCAAGAAAGTTTTGGAGTCATGAATCGATTGAGGGTTACCTTCCTTGTCAGTGAACTTCAAAAAACTAGGAAGGGAGCAATGAGTATTGATTAGTACCTCAACACTATCAAGCAACTTGCAGAGAATCTTGAAATTGCTGGTAAAGTCATTCCTTATGCTGATCTTGTTACTCAAGTGCTTGCCGGTTTAGATAAAGAATATACTCCTATAGTAGTGCAAATAAATAGCAGGGAATCTATATCTTGGCATGAATTGCAATCAGTACTCATGACTTATGAAAGCAGAATTGAGCACCTCAACACTCTGAAAAATGGTTTAGCCTCAATTAACTTAAGTGAAGCTTTAGCCAATTTCATCCATAGCTCAAATATTAACAGAGGAAGAAGATTCAACTATGCTGGTAGAAGCAATAGCTATAGAGGAGGCAGGAGTAGAGGTAGAGGAGGTAGACTATTTGCTAACAAAAGTGCATGCCAAATCTGTGGTTTGAACAGTCACACAGCAGCTAAGTGTTTTAACCGGTTTGATAAAAGATATATGGGTGCCAAACCTGAAACTCACTATCAGAACTCCTCAGAACTAGCTGCTCTTATAGCTTCCTCCAGAATCGTGGCTGATCCAACTTGGTTTGCAGACTCAGGTGCCAGCAATCATGTCACAGCTAAAAAGGGAAATCTGATTGAGGCACTTGAGTATGGTGGTAAGCAAAAACTTGCTGTTGGCAATGGTAATAGACTTCATATCTCTCACATTGGCACAAATCGCCTCAATACACAAAATAATAGGCCACTAATCCTTAACAATGTCTTGTTAGTTCCCTCAATCAAGAAAAGCCTGCTAAGTGTTTCACAGTTAACTTCTTATAACAGAGTATTCATGGAATTTCATTCTGATTTTTGTTTTGTTAAGGACAACGAGACCAAGGAAGTACTGCTAGAAGGGAGAATAAAGACTGAATGTGTCAGATTGAACTACCTGATCAAGTTAACCAGACTGCTATCTCAAAGTTTGCTCACTCAAATAAATCTAGACCTTCTGTTTTTATTGCTCAGTCTAAAGATGCCACAAAGTATAAGTCTAATTTAGAATTGTGGCACATGAGGCTTGGGCATCCCTCAAAACCTGTAATGTCCCAAGTCCTTCGACTCTGTCATGAAAAGCTTAAAGTGAATGAAGTTAATCGTTTATGTGATGCCTGTCAACTTGGCAAAGCACACTCTCTACCTTTTAAACTTTCAACCTCACACTCATCATCACCTCTTGAACTTGTTCACACTGATGTTTGGGGTTTGGGGCCCTGCACCCCTTCAATCAACATCTGGCTTCAAGTATTACATCATATTCATTGATCATTACAGCAGGTTCACATAGATATATCCTATGAGGAACAAATCTGAAAACCTAAATTCCTTTATTCAATTCAAAAACTTAGTCGAAAATAAGTTCAATAAGAAAATCAAAACTCTTCAATCTGATTAGGGAAGAGAATTCAGAGCTTTTACTGAATTCACCCTACAATCAGGTATTCACATGAGGTTTTCCTGTCCTTACACTTCATCTCAGAATGGGAAAGCTGAAACGAAACATCGCCACATTACTAAAACCGGTCTAACTCTTCTTGCTCAAGCCAACATGCCATTGCATTATTGGTGGGAGTCATTCCATACTGCCACCTATCTCATTAATAAACTGCCCACACCCGTTCTTCAAATGAAGTCACCTTGTCAAGTTCTAAATGATGAACTAATAAACTACAAATCACTCAAGGTTTTTGGATGTGCTTGCTTCCCTTGTCTAAGACCTTACCAGCTTCACAAGTTCAGTTTCCATTCTACTAAATATGTCTTCATTGGATTCAGCAATTCCCATAAAGGCTATACGTGTCTTAACTCTACTGGAAAAATCTATTTATCTACACATGTTGTCTTCAATGAAATGGAGTTTCCTTTTGAGCATGGTTTTCTAAATAAAAGTAGCCACTCATCTGAAACCATTATCCAATATATGCCACTCAACATTCCTTCTAGCACTGGTCCTGTAAGCTCATCTGATACATTTCACTCTAGTTCAACTCAACCAGCAGTACCTCAATGTCCTATTCAACTAGAGGAAATTGAAACTGAGACACTAGAGGTTAATGAGAATGAAAATCTTGAGATTAGACATGAGCGTGTTGAAAGGGAAACTCATGAAGACACTGCAGACATTGAAGTAGAAGAAACTGAGCCCAATATTCAGACAAATCAGCAAGAGATAGAAGGGAGAAGACAAAATGTTGAGCACTCGGTGATTACCAGAAGTAAAGCAGGCATTTTCAAACCTAAAGTGTATACTACTCTCCTCAAAGAACCTAGAATTGATCTAAGCAAGGCAGAACCCAGTGATACCTCTGAAGCACTATCTGATAAGAACTAGAAAGCAGCTATGGAAGAGGAGTTCAAAGCTCTGATAGGGAACAAAACCTGTACGTTAGTCCACCCTTGATCAATCAAAAGATCATAGGGAACAAGTGGGGTTTCAGACTTAAAAGAGACATTGAAGGAAAAATTTTGAAGAACAAGGCAAGGCTTGTTGCAAAGGGTTTTCTACAAACTTCAGGCATTGATTATCATGAAACCTTTAGTCCGGTAATCAAGGCTTCCACACTAAGATTAATACTGTCACTTACTGTGTCTAAAGGCTGGAATATTAGACAAGTTGATATCGATAATGCTTTTCTTAATGGAAGGTTGAATGAAGTAGTCTTTATGAAGCAACCAGATGGCTTCATTGACGAAGCCAATCCAACCTTCATTTGCAAGCTTGATAAGACTCTTTATGGACTGAAACAAGTCCCTAGGGTGTGGTATGACAGCTTAAAAGGAACACTTCTAGACTGGAATTTCATCAAAGTCCATTTTACATGAATGAAAGGCAAGTAANCAAGTTCCACCAATGAGACTTGACAGAAACAACTTTCTGTTATGGAAAAATATGGTGATGTCGATCATAAAAGGTCACAACTTGGAAGGGTTTATCACTTGAACCAGAATCTGCCCAGCTGAATTCCTAGCTACACAAACCACGGGCTCAACTGGGGTAACAGTCGAAATGGTTCCAAATCCTGAGTATGGAAAGTGGATGTCAACAGATCAACTATTGATGGGTTGCTTGTACTCCTCAATGACACCAGGAATTACAATGAGAGTCATGGGATCATCAAAGTCTTCTGAACTCTGGAATGCTATCCAAGAAAGTTTTGGAGTCATGAATCGATCGAGGGTTACCTTCTTTGTCAGTGAACTTCAAAAAACTAGGAAGGGAGCAATGAGTATTGATCAGTACCTCAACACTATCAAGCAACTTGCAGACAATCTTGAAATTGCTGGTAAAGTCATTCCTCATGCCGGTCTTGTTATTTAAGTGATTGCCGGTTTGGATAAAGAATATACTCCTATAGTAGTGCAAATAAATAACAAGGAATCTATATCTTGGCATGAATTGCAATCAGTATTCATGACTTATGAAAGCAGAATTGAGCACCTCAACACTCTGAAACATGGTTTAGCCTCAGTTAACTTAAGTGAAGCTTTAACCAATTTCATCCATAGCTCAAATATTAACAGAGGAAGAAGATTCAACTATGCTGGTAGAAGCAATAGCTATAGAGGAGGCAGGAGTAGAGGTAGATGAGGTAGGCTATTTGCTAACAAAAGTGCATGCCAAATTTGTGGTTTGAACAATCACACATTAGCTAAGTGTTTTAACCGGTTTGATGAAAGATACATGGGTGCCAAACCTAAAACTCACTATCAGAACTCCTCAGAACTAGCTGCTCTTATAGCTTCCTCCAGAACCATGGCTGATCCAACTTGGTTTGCAGACTCAGGTGCCAACAATCATGTCATAGCTAACAAGGGAAATCTGATTGAGGCACTTGAGTATGGTGGTAAGCAAAAACTTGCTGTTGGCAATGGTAATAGACTTCATATCTCTCACATTGGCACAAATCGCCTCAATACACAAAATAATAAGCCACTAATCCTTAACAATGTCTTGT